TAGTCCTCTATAGCTGGTGGTATTATTCTGCAATGCTGTACAATGTATTGCTGAGATTTGTAGTCCTCTATAGCTGGTGGTATTATTCTGCAATGCTGTATAATGTGCTGAGATTTGTAGTCCCTCTACAGCTTGGAGTTAGTGGCAGTACCAGTGTCGGAGCAGTCGTATACGTGCACAGCACTGACGAGGCATCCCTCCACTACCAGTGTGCTATAATTTTCCTCAACCCATACTCTACCGCGTCTCTTCCAGGTGCACATGCCATGAAGAAAGGCGGTCATGAAAACAGCTGATTCTGAGGACTTGGCCCCACTGGAAGTGACATCGAGAAAAATTATAGAACACTGACACTGTCCGGCCCCTCCCACTAACCTCCCACTCTCCTCCCACAGCTCACAGCCCAGAAGCATGGACAGCCAGCGGTGGTCTACAGTGGGTGAGAGGGCCTAAGTACCGGGCATGGAGCGGAGTAAGGCCAGAACCATGTAGGAAGCCCAGTGGGAGGAGAGCACCATCCCCCAGCCAATCACCCGTTTCATGAACTTACTAGGAGTCCTCACATCAGCCGACCATTCACTACTGTTACATGGATGGCAAAAGTGGCAGACAGGGGCGGGGAGAAGGCGGGGAAGAGGCAGAGTGGGAGGGGGGCCAAGTTGCTGCACCATGGGCCTCTGGGTTGTACTTGCCCCCTGGGCTAAAAGTTGCCAGTCAGCCCCTGGCTGGACCCATCTGCTCACATCCATATCAAGCGAGCAGTGGCAAGAAATACAATTCAAAATAATACACAGAGCCTATTATGCTTTGAACTTCCATCCTTCCTCAATCACGAACACTTGGGTCACTGAATGCCCTAAGTGTCACCTCACACACCCTAATTTAACACACCTCCTCTGGCAGTGCCCACATATTTAAACTCTTTGGCACCTCTCACTCCACTACATGTTGTCATTATCTGGGATATCTAGGGACTGTTCTCCAGCTCTATGCCTCTTCCACTCCCCAACTGCTTCACCACAGACTTCCCAAGCGCCTCTGACACAATGGGAACACTATTGTCTTCCAGCTATCAAAAGGAATATACTCATACATTGGCTCTCTCCCCAAACTCCTACGTTAACGGAGATAAAAACTACCCTCCACCAACTTTTGTTGCTCCACAAATTAGACACTAAACACAATTTAGATCGCACTGGTAAATTCTTCCATACTTGGGCACAATTCCTGGCATCTGAATGTACCCTAGACCAGGGCTCAAAATTTCAAGTCCTGAGATACTAGCCAGGCCTTAAGAGTTACTCGCCACCAGTTGCCCCACCTGACCCAGACCAATTAAAAGATATTATGTCCAACGATCCAAGTGGTACCTTCAAGCTATGTCCACTGGCTCTCTGGGTAAGCTCAATGTTTTATGACATGAGTCCGTTTGTGTGCTGATCTCGAACATCCAGATCCGGAACCGATGATCCCATGCCTTCTCTTACCTGTTCTGATCCGTCCCACAGCCTACCTATGTCAGTTATCTACTTTATAGGCATTGTACGTGTAATTTAAACGTCAGCAATTCCTGTCTATATCTCCACACTCCACATTGCCACTTTACATACTCTGGCATCACCTGGTCATCTATTGCTGACATAGGACTATGTTGTTTACTATTGTACTTTGTTTTTTCAGTATTGTATGCTATAACCAGCTATATGCAGACTCCTTCTGTTTGGAGTCATGTTTTTGCGTTTGTATCAACAAATTTTTAATAAAAATCTACTTGCTTAAAAAAAAGTACAATTTAAACCTTCAGTTTTTTTGGGGGGCGGGCGGGGGGTTGCATATATCTACTGCTATCTACTGCTAAAAACTAGGCAAGCACCAATATATCGGCCACCGAAACATATCGGCCGAAAATTGAACTTTTGGCAAAATGCCGAAAGTGCAATTTTTTGGCCGAAATAGGCTCCTGTACAGTTGTCTGGATGGAGAGCGGGTACAAACACTCAGTGATCAGTGATCGCTGAGTATTTGTATATAATTGAGGACATAGTATGTTTACTGTGTTCTCAATTATGAATGAATGGGAAGTGATCTACATCACTTCCTGTTCATTCGTGATTGTGGATATAGTCAACACACTATGTCCTCATGTTATGAATGGACAGGAACACTCAGTGTAGAGGGGTTCATTTATAACAGGGGATGCAGAAAAAGAGATTGAGGACTTCTATTTCTATTTTAAAAGAGAAATATCAGGGATCTGTTTCGACCCCTAATATTTTCTGCGTAGCACCTAAAAGTAAAGTAAAAAAGAAAAATATTTAAAATAAAAATAAATAACTAAAAATAAAATATAGAAAAATTAAGAGTCATAATTTAAGGTAAGCCCTTAAAGCAGCATTGGGGGTGGGGGTGGGGGTAATGTGACTTTAATTACACATTAGGTAGTTTTTAAGTTATACTATGTGAATGGGATGTAACAAATATAAAGTAGGTGTTATCCCAATTTGGGTGCAGAAGTGGAAATGTACTTGTCAGGGGCGTCCCGGGCTGGGTGACACCCGGAGTGTCACCCCGCCGAGACGTCACTGCGCATGGGCGTGACGTCACCACTCGCGTGCGTGATTACGTCATCGCGCACATGCGGCAGTATTTTGATACCTGCCGGAGGCCATCTTTATGACTGGCACCGCCGGGTCCCCTCCTCTCTCCTGATACTGTCGGGCGTTCGGTCCATTGACCGAGCGCCCGAGTTTTCAGAGGGGGGTAACACCAAAATGACTGAGTCATTTTGGTGTCACCCCTCCAATGGTGTCACTCCAATGGTCACCCCCCGCACCCCCCTTGTGACGCCACTGCAGTATGTGAGCCCAGATTTCACACAGAACACAGAATTCGGGGTATGCCATTCCCTCTCACTTGTTTTCAAGTGAGCAGAACACGATGAAAGGACAGATATACAGCACTGTATTGGGAAGTTCCATAGCCATCAATGAGCTGACTGCTGGTCTATCCTCACCCTGCACTGCAGTGTAATGGCAGCAGCTGCTTCCTGGCTGTGTGCTGGATGTGAGTAGGGAATGCAGCAAAGAAGGAGAGGGAATCCAGTGCACTCCGCCAGGCAGGGAAGGGTTAATGATTGCATTCTCCTGCCCAGTACATCTGGATGGAGCCGCTCCTGATAGGGTTAATGTTATGGCAGGTAGGGGGAGGAGCAGTAATGCTATGCTGGTTGTGGGGGCTGTCCTCTCCTCTCCCCTGCTCTCACCCGGCTGCATTGACTCCCAGTCTGCTACAGCACGAAGATGGCGACGGAGGGAGAGAGCGGAGAGCCCAGCTTCTCCTCTGACCATGGAGAGCCAGACAATGTAAGACATCTGATCTGTTCCTGGCAGGGAGGATGGGGGGGATCTGTTGATGATGGGGGTCGTTGTGTTATGCTGGAGGCTGCAGTGAGTATTGGGAATGTCAGATGACAGCAGGACTGAAGGATAGCGCTGTCATGTAATGTGCGCAGAGGGAAATACCAGCTTCCTCCACTCATCTGTACACTGAACGATCTCTGGTCGGCACTGACAGGCAGATGATCTATTACATCTCGTGATCTGCCTTATTCCTGACACTGCAGAAGTCGGGGGATTACAGGGACAGAGAGGAGTTTCTTCCTTAGTGGCTCCCTACAGAGACAGATATATCCATCCTTAGGGTCCCTCTACAGGGACCCTAAGGATGGGGGTCCCTGAGGGGCTCCCTACAGAGACAGAGAGGGGATATTACCCTAGGGGCTCCCTACAGGGACAGAGATATCCATCCTTAGGGTCCCTCTACAGGGAAAGAGAGGAGATCCTTCTTCCATAGGGACTCCCTACAGGGACAGAGATGAGATCTTTCCCTAGGGGCTCCTTACAGGGACAGAGAGGAGATCCTTCCATATGGGCTCCTTACAGGCACAGAGAGGAGATCCTTCCCTTGGGGCTCCCTACAGGGAGAGAGAGATCCATCCTTAGGGAATCACTACAGCGACAGAGATGAGATCCTTCCTAAGGGGCTCTCTACAGGAACAGAGAAATCCGTCCGTAGGGACTCCCTACAGGGACAGAGAGGAGATCCTTACATAGGGACTCTCTACAGGGACAGAGATATCCATCCTTAGGGGCTCCCTACAGGGACAGAGAGGTGATCCTTCCATAGGGGCTCACTACAGGGACAGAGATATACATCCTTAGGGGCTCTCTACAGGGACAGAAAAATCCATCATTAGGGGCTCCTTACAGGGACAGAGAGGAGATCCTTCCATAGTGGCTCTCTCCAGGGACAGATAAATCCATCCTTAGGGGCTCCTGACAGGGAGGAGATCCTTCCTTGGGGGCTCTCTATAGGGACATAGAGGAGATCCTTCCATAGGGGCTCTCTACAGGGCAGAGAAATCCATCCTTAGGGACCCCCTACAGGGACAGAGAACTCCCTATTCCTAGCTCCCTATTCTCTCCATTCTCTTCCCTGGTCCTGTGTTGGTTCTTCAGCTCCTGGCTGTGTATTTTCAAACTGCCTAGAGAAGGAGGCTCTATAGTTACAGCAATGCAGGAGAGCAGGATTCCTAAATGGCATTTACAGTGTAGCTGGAGTATAAATAGTGGACATCTGCCAGTAACGGTTTGGTGGTCTGCTCTCCGAGCTGCATGCTGACATTAGGCTTGTTATGACAGATCTTGTATCAAAGACAATGTAGCTGTCAGCACCCAACTGTTGACATTAAACACTGTGACATTAGCTTACTTGTACACATTGCTTCGCAAAAAAAGCAAAGTAGCATATTAATGTGTACACATGTATTACACTGAACAGGAGGGAAAACATGTCCATGTTCATACTTAATTGTTTATATATAATTGCTTTGTTTACTGTTCAGATTTGTTCTAATTTTATGTCATAAAGAAACAAGAGCAAGATTAATTGGGCACAGCCTAATGGAGCTCAATAAATGCAACATAAAAAGAAATATGCTTTTATTTATCTGCACACTATAGGCTTAATTCAGAAAAGCATGGCATGTGCACAATTGTTATTACCACATTATTTGCAGTATTTTCACAAAGGAAATTGATTTTTTTAGTTTATTAAGGTAGTACCACACAGATCAGCTGACTAGATCACAGGTATAATATTGTGCTTTTAAACTTTCCCTTGAAATACATGGCATAGGGCTGCAAACATCTGCACTAAAGCTGGCCATACACTGGTCAAATTTTGTAGCTAGGTAGTCAAATTTTGAGCAGTATGTGGCCTCCTTGGACCCCCCCCCCCTTCCCCCAATCAATATTTGTTGCAGAAGTTGGTATGAAAATTCTCAGTTGAACAGTGACTGCAGTCGCTGTCAGAATACAATAGAATACAATGGCCTGGGGGTATCCTTGCTGTTTAGTGTGAATGAGTGCATAATGTTTTTTTATCATTCAGCCCACAATAAATGATCAGGGTATGGCCAGCCTTGTTTGATGATTTGCCTTTAGTGTTTAACCCCTGCTTCTGTTTATAGGGTGGCTCCATTCCCTTACATTGTTCCCTACAGCCACCCTTATGAGTGCGCTTTCACCCAGCAAAGTAGCTTGACATGCGATCACTCCATGCACTTGCAGCATGGAGCCCAATTAATTTCCCAGTTATTCTTCCTGGGATTGATTGTCAGGTTGGTGGGCAGAGAGTCCAGCTGCAATAAAATGCTGGTCACGCATGCACTAAAGCAATGGGGACTTGTAGTGCCGATGCTGAATTTGCAGATGTTTATAGTGCACGCCCTCCAGACTGGAAGTTTGGGGAAGCTGCACTGAAAGGAGGAAGCAGCTTTTGGGTATTTACAAAGGGGACAATTTCTTGAAGGACCCATTGACACCAAAATCAAAAGCTAATCGTAAGTCAACAGAGAGTCCATTGACTTGTGATTGTACCTTCCAATTTCCTTGAGATCCATTGCAATCTGTTTTCCAATGAATGCTAACGCAAGGGCACCGAAAAAGGAATGAGTGTGAATGGGGCTAGTTCACAACGCTGTTGCGCTGAAAAAGAAGTCCATCTTCTTTCTTTTTTCCCCGCACAATGTAACGAAATGGATCGGTGTGTACTGATCCCATTTACACCAATTCAATTTTTGGGTTATCTTCTGCTGGCATCCATTGAAAAACAGATCATAACGGATCTGGTGTGAATGGGGCCTAAAACAGCCTCCTGCTATATTTTTTGTGGATGGACCTGAAAAAATAGGAGGGTTTAATTCTACTTTAAATTTTGAGCTATTTTGTATGGACATGCCTTTTAACAAAGAATATCATATCAGCTGTCCCTTAATACAACGCTTGCTTTAGGTTGGCAATAACCGAGTTTCATTGAGGTGTCTATTGAGGAGAGGAGGAGGAGGAGAAGGAGCAGGTTGTGCTGGTGATAAAATATCACTTTGTGAGATAAAATAGAGATTTGAAAACAAATAAAGCTTCTACCAGTTAAATGCTCATTTCATGTGAAGCAATAACAATTCCATACCATAATGTTTGTGAAGACTATTTTTAAGAGAAATCTATCAAGAGGTCAAAAAGGATTTTCTTAAATGCATATTTACTATTATTTATGCAAAAAAAAAAACAAGGAAAAAAACATACAGGCATATTTGCAAAAAAGGAGGCTGCATTATTAACTTTCCCACTGTCCACGCCACAAAAAGGCCTCTCCATTCAAGTGTCCTCCACTGATACTCCAATAGTATTGATCTCCTTTGTTCCCCACAGCACTAACTAGTTCCTTCCACAGTCGCCCACATCACTACTTTGTCCTCTGCTGACATGGAGGTTGGCAGGAGGATCCAGTGAGCACTGCAGACAATCCCAGAGATAGACACCACCATAAATTATGGTTTCCATGTGGAATTCAGCAGAGAATTTCTCTTGAGTGGAGCGACATTTTGGCACGGATAGCAAGAAGGGTAAATATTTGGTCTCTTCTTTTGTAGTCATGCCTGTTTTTTTTTATTATAGTGACAGGGTCTCTTAAAAGCCCAAACTCCAGGTTGCCCCCACCCCTGCCACATTCACTTTTTTTAAAAATGTTTGCAGATTTGCAAGCTTCTAGATTCTGTCTGCTCTAGTTTTGATACATTCCCCCCATATTGTCGCATTGAAGCAACGTTTCAAGGTCGTGCTGGGTCCCATTCATCAGGCTCCTCATTGATCCCAGCGGTGCCACCCGCAGTCATTTCAGCACCCATTTCCAGTGATTTCCGGTAAGGAGTGTGGCAGGACACCCATTGGACTCCTTTATCTGTTTATATGACATCATAGAACCTCTTCTTCCTCTGGTAGTTAGCGGCACCTGTGCAATGAATTTGTTTTTTCTTATACATTTTTTTTTTAAAACATACCACTAACAGTAGCAAAGGTACAAAAAATTTGGAATTAAACAAAAACAGTAGTATAGATTTTATAGACACTAGGGATGCACCATTACTGGTTTTTCCGTATCGAGTACCAATATTTATGGTTGGTACTCGCCGATACCGAGTACCGATACCGATACTTCTGGTTCCTAGAGCTGGCTTCCCAGGCAATCAGGGAGCCAGGCGGTGTATCATTACCCACTGCCCGGCTTCTTGATTGCCCGGTAAGCCGACTCCATTCTGTTTGGCCAGCTCGATGCTGATTGGCCGGGAAGCCGGCTTCCCAGCCAATTGGCATTGAGGCCGGCCAAACAGATCTGACAATATGGTGACACAACCTCCACCCTGCAAACATCCTCATTCCCCTCACATCGATCCTCAGCAGAATTAATTACCGTACCACAGATGTCCCTCGGCCAGCTGAGCAGACACCGCTCTCCAAGCTCTCCCGGATCTGCCCACGTCTCCTGTGTGTAAAGCGCCCACGTGATCGCCCCTCAGCCTGCTACTGTGCATTCGCAGACTGCCCAGTGCTCTCATTCAGACATCCTCTAACAGCATCAAGCAGGCGGTGCTGGCGCTGTGCACACAGGAGACGTGGGCAGATCCGGGAGAGCTTGAAGAGCGGTGTCTGCCCAGCTGGCCGAGGGACTGGTACGGTAATGACTGCTGCTGAGGATCTATGTGAGGGGAATGCTTTGTCTGCAAGGGGGGGGTCGTGTCACCATATTATCAGATTTGTTTGCCCGGCTCGTTGCTGATTGGCTGGGAAGTCGGCTTCTCGACCAAACAGCATGGAGCCAGCTTTCCGGCTCCAAGTTCCCTCGCAGCACTGCCGGTAAGAGGAATTCTCCCTTTGACCGATAGTTCCAGTATCGGGAAAGGTATCGGAGCATTTGGGCGAGTATGAGTACTTGTCCAAATACTCGGTATCGGCACCGATCACGA